GCTGAACCATGGCCACACAGCAGGCAAAGTTACTCCAGTTCAATAAGCAAAAATAAAATGCAAATGCAAAACAAAATCCTAGTTAGAGCTGTGTGCAAGGCAACAGGAGAGATGTTTGTCTCAGGCTGGAAGCAGGGAGGAAGAGAAGCATGTCTGTGTGCTGCCCTTGTACACCTTGGCTCCTTTGCCTTTTTAATTGTAGCTAATAGAGGGTGATGGAGAGAAATTAGCATGAATAATATGTTTGTATAGACTCTTTTTATTACACTCTTGTTCTTCAGAAACAAAAGCGTTTAATGACCAAAGCTATGGCACAGTACAGGTGCCTGAATATTTGGAGGCTAAATTCCTTGTATCAAAAAGGAGAAATTTACTACCGAGTTACAGTTCTTCAGAGGACAGCAACACCTGCATAGCACTGACTGCCAAACTTCTCTTTCAGTGCTGCTCTCAGGCCCTGTAATTTCATTTCCTTTTTTAACATTTTCCAGAACCAACTCTTTATTCAGCTCATCTCTTTTTAATTTTTTCTAACTTTAATTTCCTTAATAAGTTTTGGAAGTCACATCAGTTTTTGACATTTTTATCTGTAATGATCAACATGCTTCTTTTTCAGGCTATCATAACCATAGCTTTGTCTCTTAAAAAAAATAAAATAAAATGTCTCAAGAAATCTATTTAACATGAACAGTAAATGCTACAGGAAAGAGTACATAACTTGAAGTTAATTTTGCACTTTTTTCCTTTTACTTGTTTCATAGGTTGCTGGTGCTGATGCGCTGGAGTTAAATTTATCATGTCCTCATGGTATGGGGGAGCGAGGCATGGGTCTGGCCTGTGGGCAGGTAGGACTGTAACTGCAAACTCTTTAATGTCTGTTCAGCAATCCTGCACTACCACATTGATAGTTCCACCTCAGGGGGAAGACACAAGCAGCAGATTACTAGCTTGAGATTTTTACGTTGAATGTGTTTAAATATTTAGTGCTGAAAGGAAAAAAAAATAGAGACAAGCTGAGAATAGACAAAATGCTTCATTTTGCTGAGAACAAAAATGCATTATGTATTTGACAAGGAACATGATGAAAACAAATAATTTCTAAAAAGCACTTGGGCAGAATTTGTTGGTTTCCATTTCAGCGCCCTGTAGATATCTTTTAGATAACAACCTAGTAACTGCTGAGTATATCAGCAATGGTTTTGAAGGACATGAGATACACATTTCATTTCACAATTTTTAACATATGAACCTAGCTGTATTTTAGAATCACAGAATAGGGCATACATTCTGGTAGTATCATCCACATCTCTTATAAGAGTCTGTGTTCTGTAACCTATAGATTTTGTTGGTTTATACTGTTTAGGTTGGAATTATCCTTGCCTAATGTCTGTGCCATGTAGAAATCTGATGCAGAGTTTATCAATACATCCCCTGACTTCAGTTAAGAGAATGTGTGTTATTTTGCCCATGAAAAAAAAAATAAACATGCACAAAAATCAATTCTCATGCTAATATCCTTTTGAAGTTTTCAGATTTTTGCATGTTTTGGTCATGGCTTGAAATCTGTTTTGGCTCTGAAACATGCCCAAATATGGTGAATTGAAGTCTCTAAAAACCCTTGCTTCACAGTCTACCAGGAGAGATTTTCTAGAGTTTGACCATCAGAGTTTCAGAATTTTGTAGCCTGTTTGATTTCCCATCTTACTCCATTTTGAGGAAAGGGGAAGAAGAAGAGGAACGAGATCCAGAGTAGGAATCATGATTATATATGCTAAAATCAACATAATATTATTCACCTTACTTCCTTGTAGAGGGCTAGTAAACGTCTTAGTTCATTCTCACTTCCTCAGTTAAACAGAAAATTTTTAAAACCATTAACTTTCTAAAAGTAGGGAGGCTGTAAAACAACAGGAGCTGTAATCAGCACAACTATGGACACACTTCAGGTATAGCTTTGTCATAGCAATCCTGTCAGGCACAGTGTGCCAGACATTTGATTGTTTTATGTGAGCAAAATTATGTCAATCTACTCTATGCTGTAGATTATTATTTTTAATGAAAGTAACCTTTTCATTGCCAGTGCTCATCTACTGAAGTTGTGATTAAAATGGGAGAGAATCGTACAAACCCTCCAGGATAACACTAACGAAACAGTAGTAGGTATTAGTAATTTTTTTCCCTGAATTGTGTTCAGCAACAAAAGGCTATTGTAGCCATTTTGATAAGTTTATGAAGCAATTCCCACCCTTCACTCTGCAGAGAGTAACTCAGTAGTTTGGCTTGTCACCATGTGAGATGGCAGCATGCTGTGGAAGGGAGCAGTTTGGTCAGGGAGAGCCCTGAAGATTTCATATAGAAACTGAAACAGGCTCCTTTCAAGCATGGGGTTTTTTATTTTTTTAAGGTGTATGTTATTTCCAGCCTTCACTGGTTGGAATAATATATGCATGTGAAGTTGCTTAGATGTGTAGTCAGTAGGGAGCTGTCTGGCTACATGAGTTTTTACATATCTTTCAGCTATTGTAAAATCAGAGAAGCAAATGCAAAATCTGAGCACTCAGGGCTATAGTGTGGATTCGTTACTCTCCTTGGAGGAGATCAGATTCATAAAGCAAGAAGATTACTTTACATATATGAATGTGTGTGTGTGCGTTTGTGTAATAATAAAATTTCTGTCTTCCCCCATACAATATAGATATTCTTTGGAATGTTTAATATGTACTAATCTTGCTTAAATTTGTTCTTGTGGGTTTTTTTTAACTGTCTCACCAAAATGAGAGCTCAGAAAAGAATTGACTTCTTTAGACAAATAAATGAATAAATCAAGCCCTCTTTAGAGGGCCAATCCTGATGTTCTGCCTCAGAGCAGGCTAAAATTAAATTATAGTGACTTTAAATATAGATTATTGAAGTGAAAGACGGGGAGAAACTGGATAAAATAGTGATATGTGCAGTGAGATTTATCAGTAGCCCTTCCAGGTTTGGAACCCCCTTTCAGGGACTTCCACATGTTGTGGCCCCCAGAGGCCCCATATTAAGACAGAAAAGTCTAGAAAGTATTTTGGCTCTACTCCTAATGTATTTACTTTTTCCCCACCAGAGCTGAAGTCAAATAAGTCATACATGGGTGGTATGGGGAAGAGAGGGTTCAGATACGCTCTGGAAAACAAAATACCACTCGATATCTGCAAGTCAGGGCATGAGTCTTTGAAAAGCACAGCAGCTTTCCTGGTTGTACAGTCAAGCAGGTTTTCTTAAATCTTTTTGATAACATAATCCAGGTCTTCATAGGAAATTTTTTTAAGGATTAGGTCCCTTTCATGCCTAAGCACATTAAATCCTCAGGAAACTACAGAAATTGCTGAGATGAAAAACAGTGGCAGAAAGACATGTATTTTTACTATTTATATGTGTAAAATGTTCTGCCTTTTTGTTGTTGTTTAAAAAAAAATAAAGGAAAGGAAAGGTTAATTACACTGTCTACTTTTTCTCCTCGTTCCAATTCCTATGGTGTGCCTAAGGGTAAGTGTAGAAATCTGGTAGCATCAGATTTGGGGCTTTTCCTATCCTATTTCGTTATCTAGTTTCAAACACTTCCACTGTTTTATACCCACTGCAAATTTTTAAAGTTCCAGATATATCCAAATTATATATATAAAAATTGGTACTAAGCATGGCTGTTTGTTTTGTACTGAATTACAGTTCCTAGCTTTTATTTGATTTTAATTCCAAGTCATTAGTGCAGACACTCTGGTGCTCAAACAGCATAGCTAGCCAGAGGGTAATATTAAGAGGCATCTGTATTGCTGCCAATAAGTTACTTAAAGCTGGTTCTGTATAAAATGTCAATTATATTTACTAATGCTGATTAATGATAACAAAGTTAAGGTTTGTATTCTTTCATAACAATCTGCAACTGTATAAAAGTGGATATCATTAAAAATCATAATAGAATTTCTGTCATTAGGTTTAGCAGCACTAATGCACCGATTTTCTTTGAATCAGATAACCTAAGTGTACAAAACATTTAATATAAACATAAAGACAACACGTGAACAGAAGATTATTAAAAAATGACAGTAATGCTCTCCCACTGTAGTTCATTATTGTAGTAACTATAGCTTAAAATTATGAAAATAATAAATCAAACATGAGATGGTAGCACTCACATTTCAGTGTCTAACTTGCACTGTTGTATTTGTGATACACTTTTCGTCCTTCACTGGAAACTATGCAAACATGTTTTAGTTGTGATTTTTTCACTTATTCTTTATGGAATGGTATTAAATATTCAGAATTATTTTTGTCATATGAAATCAAGAAATTTAAGTGTTTGCCTTTTTGGTTTTGGCTCAAAAGTCAAACAAGTCTCTCCAGCTGCTCTGGCAAGAATGAATAAATAGATACACTTTTCGTCCTTCACTGGAAACTATGCAAACATGTTTTAGTTGTGATTTTTTCACTTATTCTTTATGGAATGGTATTAAATATTCAGAATTATTTTTGTCATATGAAATCAAGAAATTTAAGTGTTTGCCTTTTTGGTTTTGGCTCAAAAGTCAAACAAGTCTCTCCAGCTGCTCTGGCAAGAATGAATAAATAGTATAGTCAGTA